TGTGTGTGTGTGTGTGCGTGCGTGTGTGTGTGCGTGTGTGTGTGTGTGTGTGTGTGTGTGTATGTGTCAGAGTGTGTCTGCGTTCGTGTGTGTCGTTTCAACCTTTCTATCATTTTTGGCTTAAGGAAGCATTAACATAGTCGTTTAGCGACTTTTTAAAAAATGATTACTGAATATTTCTAACATCTGTTAACATACCCTCAAGCTTAACCCACTCTTTATACCCTCTGTACAGTATATAAATTTTCACTCTGGGGCTTCCAAAGACGACTTTGTTGAAAGTGGTGTTACCTGTAACCGAAAAAGTATAATAATAATAATCACCCAAAGCAAAGACGTAACTGTTGGCGGGTGCTCTGGTGTGTTTTGCTTCTTCGTTCCTATCAAACATCTATCGTCCTACTCTCTCCTCCTTCATTTTTATAATATTTGTTACTCTCTTGTAACACATCTAATCTTCGGTACTTATATGACCGTATTGTGTTGCAAGAGCCTTAAAACTCTTACTAAAAACTAAACTAAACTCACTCTGAGCTTCCAAAGACGAATTTGCTGAATGTGGTGTTACCTGTAATCGAAAAAATATATTGATAACAATAATAATAATAATAACAACAACAATAATAATAATAATGAAAATAGCAATAACCCTAAAGCAAAGGTGTAACTCCTAGTTTTGACCTTTCAACATCCAGGTACATCAACCGAAAGAAACGAGAGCGGTCCCAGACCATGCCGATCACCGAAGAAGAGGTCAAAACAGCGTCTGAGATGGAGGCAGCGGCCACCACGGCCACCGGAAACCAGACAGTCCGTGTGGGGCCGGTACCGGAAATCGTCAATAGGTCAAGGTCGAACAGCATTGCGGAGGAAGGAGAGAAGGAGGCATTGGATGATGAGCTGACCAAGTGAGTTGTTAAAGAGTACTTTGGCAGTTTTATGTATTGTTTGGTTGTTGTTGGGGTTTTTTTTTGTTCCTTCCTGTTGCAATTGCAGTTGTTTCATCATCATCTCCAATTTTGTTTAGGGTTTTGGGGAGGGGATGTGGATGTTGTTGTTGAGTTTTTAAATCAACCTTTCTATATTATGTGATTACTGTTAGAATCGATGATCCTTCGAGTTCGAGATAGGGAGGGTTGGGGGGGGGGGCACAGCTAGCCATGTATACTTCCCAGGGAGCTGAAAATGTTTACAATTGTTTTCGGGTCTTCAGGGGTAACAACAGAGGTGATGAAGCGCATAGAGCTTGCTGTTGAGAAGGGATATTTGCTTTATAAATAATATAAATTGTGTTTATTGTACATGTCTGTTTATGTACTCTTTCCGTCTGCAGTGGCTGCCATATATTGGACTGCTGCTTTGATTTCTGTTACACCTGCTGTTGTCGTTGTTGATATAATTGTTGTTGTTGTTGTTCTGGTTATTGTTGCTGCTGTTGCTGTTGATTGCGATGTTTATGTTTATTATGAAACTATGATGGTGATATCTGTGATGGTTGTGAGCGTTTTAGATATTTGAATGTTTCATACCTTTTTCTCAATATTTCTTGCTTCTGATTGCTGTATTTGCAGATGTTTCTGCTTCGTAATTGTTATATATATCGTACTCTGTCGATGTTGTCCTCTTTTATGGCTACTGTTCAATGTTCCTATTGCTTTTAACTTCAAATCTTCATATATATATGTTTTCTTTTTCTACAGATTTTTTTGCTCCATATTTTTAACTACATATTATAATCAAGACATTTAAAAAAATTTCAAACTGATGCGTACTGTCTCAAATCAATTGCTTACCTCAGTGTCGTTACATGTTCGTCTGTGACTGTGTAGAATGGGTGTGTGTGTGTGTGTGTGTGTGTGT